GAGAGCAAATGTTTTGAGAATGATGATGGCAACAAATGTACAAATGTGCTTGACACAATGGATGTATGTATGGATTGTGATAACAGTCATACGAGCCCCCAATAAAGTGATGGGAAAAAAGAAGAATAGGTGTTTTTGCTTTGTTCTGTATTTTACATGCTGACTCCTGTGGCCCGTTAGGAGAGGTGGTTGGGGGTGGGCAAAGGTAAGGAGGACCACTCACCGGGCTTCGGGTGAGGTTCAGTAGAGAATTCACTAGGTTGTAGTCCTGGTTCAGACGGACCATGGAGGCCTCGGACAGAGATGCAACGCAGAGATGATCCAGGCTGGTGGACAGCTCGTCCATGGGATGCGCAGGCCCGTCCTCTGGCTCTGTTGACTCCACTCCTGCCGCACCGGATGGCTCCTCTGGCCGACCGGGCTGTCCTGTGTCTGTCGACAAGGCCTCCTGACTTCTCAACGAGTCTTCTGAGGTTACGTCTGGTGTTCCCTTGGAAGCCAAAGACTTCAGCTTATTCTGTAAGGGAGGACATGCTCTGAGATTCACACCCATGGCCTACTCACCGGAAATCACAGTCCTGACGTAATTGTCTACCATCAGCATTCAGCGTGTCTAACAACTGAAGCAATGCATCACAAAGGACTGTGACAAGGGAAAATTACGGCCCGGAGATAGAATGACCATTGAGAAGAGGAGTCTCTTCTTAGCCCAATTGAGGTACTTCTTCTACATTTTAAAAATGGAAAGAACTGTGACACTGCCCTGCTGCCTGACTCTTCAGGCACCTGCAGTCCTACGCAGGCGAGGCAGCCACGCTGAAGCAGACCCTGGCTGCACATGGGGAAAGCCAGGCGTGCGTGCCTAGACCTGTGTTTCCATTCAGGTGATCTGGCACCTGAGCTGCTCACCTACCTCCTGTCGGGCCAGAGAGGGTCCTGAAGCACATACCCCTTAGTGTGAAGTAGAAAAGGAATGGCACTTGTAGGGACGGCTAAAAAGACAGGGCCCTGGTGGTCCCCGGTGCTGACATGGACGTGGGACGGCGGGAGCTCTCACACACGACTGGCGGGATGGGAGGCGGGAGTCAGCCCCTCGAGAGGTCGAATACGCAGCCCCATCCCACAGCATTCACCACAGGGAAATGAAACCACCTGGACACGGGTGAAAACCGGAATGCGGATGCTCACTGTGGCTTTCTTCGTAATTGCCACGAATTAGAAAGAATCCAGAAATCTCTTAGCTGGGGACTGGGTCAGACAGCGGGACAAAAGCAGGGCTGCATCGCCAACACGTGACGTTAAGTTCAAAATCAGAGCTTCGAACTGGCTAAGGGTGCTTTAGTAACTGCCTTAGAAACAAGGGCCAGTTCACGTTGCACAGTCACCAAATCTGTTGCCAGGGCACTCTGACCCAGGAAGCAAACAAGACAGCTGGCCCCACTCAAAGATGGCTGCCTACCATGCCACTCTGAACGTAGGCTGCTCTCTGAGAAAAGCTCTGCCAATACTGCTGCTCTCTGGAAGTCCGGCCAGTCCTTCCTCCTGAAAGGTCAGGAGCTTGATATGGCAGGTGGACATGGGCAGGGGGCTGGGGGGAAGCATGCTGGCCGCGAGGCCTGGCCGGCTTCCATTTTGCAGTGGGCGTAGGGTACCAGTTTGAAGCCCTGAAAAAAATGCCAGCCTCAAAGCTTGATTACATCTCTAGGGTTTCCAAAAAAGGCAAAACCATTGGAATATAAAACACACCAGGGGTTGCCCCAGGGATGGAGGTAAAGGGGTGTGGGGAATTCTTTAGGGCGAAGGCGCTATGGTCCGTCTGCAATGTGGTGGTTATATGGCTGCACATGCTTGTCCAAATCCACAGAGCTGCGTCCAGAGGGGAGTCCTTGGGCGTCCTACACAGTACAGCACCTGGCTACTCACGGGGAAGTTGACAGCTTGAACCCACCCAGGGGTGCCTCGGAAGAGAGGCCTGGCCTTCTCCTTCCGAAGGATCACACACATGCAGAGCCCGATGGAACACAGCTCTGCTCCTACGCCCATGGGTCGCGATGGAAACCAACTGGTAGTAGCTGGTTTGGTGGTGGGTCAGAAAGAGTGAACTGTACAGTAAATAATTTATATTTCCATTTAAAAGAAAAGAAGATAAAAAGTGCTTTTTTAAAAAGCCAAAAACAAAACCAAGAACCTAATTTTTAAATTTTCCCCCTGTAATGATTGTACCTGAAAAATGAAGTACATGAAGTCATTTGCTACTTCAAAACTGGAAGTAAAATCTAAACTATCAACCGAGTGGAGTAAACTCGGTGATGGTGGCTGTTAAAAGGCAGTACTAACAGCAGAGTCATCCCCAGGGTTGTGGTGGGCAGGCTGGAGAGGGTACACAGTCATTCCTCCCACCTGTCCAAATCCGAGGGGTGCCTTCCTTCGCCCGGGCTAGATTTCCCACAATACACCTGACAGCAAGCTTGGCTGAAAGTAAAACACCAACTTCCGTGACTCCCCACCCCTAAGTGGACCTTCCAACTGCGCTCTCTCTAATCCTCCCCGGGACCTGCAGGGGCCCAACGGTGAAAGCGCCCCATCCATCAAAAAGCAGCCATCTGCTCGGCTCAACTGATGCCCTGAAATTCTTTTGTGTCAGGAGAGTTCAAGTTGGAATAAAACAGCGATCTTAAATGTACAATCATTCTGTAAAATGTAAAACAATCGGTCTGACGCCCAACAAAGAATGTCTTCACAGAATTCAATTCTAATTCTAAGACAGGCCTCTTTGGAAGGTTGACAAGGAACGTGCCATACCTCAAGAAAAAAGTTAACCAAGTAGGGATCTTGCTTCAGCTTTGCACACACAATACAAAGGAACTGAATTTCTTCATTTTCCGTCGGCGTTGCAAGAACTTCACCACAAAGCCGAATTAATTTCTGTCCAAAAAACCAGAAAACAAAAAAATGTAGGTTATTTTCACAAGCATACAAATAGCCATCCATGTATCTTAAGGATATTTTAAAATTTCAAATAGATTACAATATCCTAAACAATTAATGAGACGTACAATAAACTCTCTGAGGTGGTGGTGTTTACATTTTATATGATCAGTTTTGTATTAAACAATTTAAACTACTTCTCCATCCTTTGCCCCCATAGCTCCCCTACCCCATGCCCCTCCTTTCTCTTTTCTCTCTGGTGGATGAACCCCTTCCTCCTTCATCCAAGTGGGCTTCATTTTCCCTCCTCTGTCAACCAATGGAGGTGGTTGTTTTTTTTTTTGAAGATGTATTTTTCAAAACCTTAATATGTAAAAATTTTACAAAGAACTATAAAGGCATGAAGTGCCCTTAAATCAATAATGAAAACTCAAATATTTACTAATCTGCATGTTAGTTTTAGAAATATATATCTATATCTATATAGCTATCTATATATAGATATATATATGATTACTTCTACACAAAACCAGGCCACGAAACTTATCAATGATTTACAACACACCTGCACTGGCCTATGGACATTGATGTGTGGGAGCAGTGGCTGCCGGATTCTTCCCAGAAGCTTAGTGTAGAAAACCAAGACCTGCTGCTTCATTCCTGGGGGACACTGCGGATAGCAAACAGGGAAAACCAACAAGAAAAGAACAGATGGACAGTATAAGCACACTCATGGAAAACGGACTGTACATGGCTGCATACCACTTTTAAAAGAAAATGCAACTAATCACTACAACTGGCAGAATAACACTTTCATCAAATACTAATGACAGGTGTTCTAGAACTAAAATTACACACGGAGTCTACAGCGTATCGCACATGATGTGTAGTTATGAACAGCAGCCTCGTGATGATACAGTGCTGAGCCTAGGGTTGGCTCTGTTTATATTCTAAACACTGGGCGAACCTGAAAATACTATGCTTAACTAACTCCTTGATCAGAGGAAAGGCAGACCTTTTGGCTTACACTAAAGACAGGTGTTTCCAAAGCACCATCAATAACTTTCCATTCTATAACGTCTCCTAACATAGCTATGTAAATGAAGGAATCCTATGGGATCAGCTGCCCTGCCATTTATTCAGACAACGCTTTTATTCTATTTACAACTCTTTTTTAAAAAGTTACAATGTTATTTACATTATAATAACTATGGCCAATGAACATTCAATATCAAAGTGTTTTTTTTGTTTTTTTTCTTTTTTAACATTTTATTAGGGGCTCATACAACTGTTATCCCAATCCATACACACATCAATTGTGTAAAGCACATTTGTACATCGT